CTTCAAGTGAGCGGAAGTATAATGAGGCCGCCAGTAGGAGTGCAAACGCACTCTTATCTCGGACAAATGCTCCCCGAGAAGTCAAGCCACACACCAGCAGATGTGGAGAACGCGGCAGCCTTCGTAAAGCTGGGCGGCTATACAAAGGATTTGGTGGTGATGCTACAGGAGAATGATGGAAATAGCCGGCACGTAAACCAACAACTGTGCGACACAATAGACGGCATTAGAACGATGTGTGAAAAATGCCGTATTAAAAAGGACGCTGTAGGCACTATTCGCAGGGAAACTAGTGATGAGAGTTTCCAAACTTCGCCGCGCACATGCGCGTAAAAGGTGATGGAGCAAAGTGACGGTGGCTCGCAAACCTGCAGAATGCAAGCGAGGCGAAGCGAATACAGCCTGGGGCGCGTAAACGTAAGCAGCCCGGGGAAGTGGACACGCCGCCCACCAAACGCCATAACGTAGCCACCATACCGGGGCTGCCGAACAGCACGCGGCAGACGTATCTGACGGCCACCACCCATCGAGGGACGTGAAATGGGTGAAAGTCGGAGCCAACACGAAAAAGGAAAAACAGGCAGACCGGCCAAAAAGACCTCTTAGGGGAAGACCCGATGCTATTACCATATAGGCTAAAGACGGGCTTTCCTATGCGGATATGCTCCGTAAGGTGAAAGACGAACAGCAATTGGTGAGGCAGTGCAGAAAATAAGAAGAACGCAGAAAGGCGAGCTTCTGCTCCAACTAAACGAGAGCGGAGGGAAGGCAGAAGAGCTGATAGTGGCAGTGGGCTCCTTTTTAGGAGGGGAGGCAGAAGTCAGGTGTCTGCAACAACGCAAAATGGTTGAGTGCAAAGACATCGGCGAAGTCACCACCAGGGAGGACATAAGCAACGCACTTAAGACCCAATATGGCGTGACAACCGCAGAAGTGGTAAATTTGAGGAAAAAATGTAGCGGAACGCAGACGGCGCTGATAAGCCTACAGGAAGAAGCCACTAAACTATTGGTAGTCGGAAAACTGCGCATAGGCTGGTTAATCTCTAGGATTAGAGATCGCGTACCCGTGTTGAGATGCTTCCGATATCTAGAGTTTGGGCATATGGTGAAGCAACATGCGGGCCCATCTGACCGATCAAAGGCTTGTCGGGGGCGTGAAGAAGAACGCCATATTGCGAAAAGCTGCACCTAGGAGCTTTCTTGCACGTTCTTCAGGAAAACGCCGAATGTGGATGCAAAGCACGTGGCGGGAATGTCCGCTGCTCAAGTGGGCACTGGCCATTAGACCGCGGAAATGAGAATAATGGAGATTAATCTCAACTTCGGCGAAGCAGCTCATGACCTACTTCGGCAAAAGGTCTTTGAGAAAGAGGCGGAGCTGGTACTATTGAGCGAACCATATCGAAGGGCAGGGCAGGGTATCTGGGTAATTGATGCGTCCAAAAAAGCAGCAGTTTAGGCGCCTGCACCTACACCACTTTTGGACGTAGACTGCCAGCACAGGAGATTCGTTAGGGCGACATTTAAAAATTTATGCTGCTACAGTTGCTACGCTCCTCCAATCTGGACACAAGGCGAATTCCAGCGCATGCTAGACGAACTCGTAGAAGGCGCCCGAGAGAAACCGTCAGTAATAATTGCGGGGGAGCTCAATGCTTGGGCGTTTGTGTGGAGCAGTAGCGCCTGCAATGCGAGAGGACGCAGCTTGTTGGAGGCATTCGCCGTGCTGAAAGTATCTCTCCTGAATGATGGGCGGAGGGATACGTTTCGTAAGGCAGGAAGGGTGTCGAAAGTAGACCTCATTTTTGTTAGCGACGGCCTAGTGGCAAGATGCAAGTGGTCGTTGAGTAAAGAGTATACAAACAGCGATCATCAGGCCATCTTCCTCCAGATAGAAAACAGAGAAAGCGGATGAAATAGGTGGCCCAAAACTACCGGATCTAAGTGGAGAGACTCACTCTTCGACGGGATGTCTTTAACATCATCATGAACTCCTACGAAAGGAGTGATAACATGGCTGTCCAACTCCAGGAAAACGTGACGAAGCTGCTTGTAGAAGCATGCAAGGTGGCCATGCCTCGAAAAAGAAATACAGGCAGAAGAGGATCTCCGCGTTATTGGTGGACCGATGTGATAGCGCCCTTGGGGGCGAACTGCTTGAAAGCCAAACGATAGGTGCAGCGCTCGAGGGGAGGAGCCAACTTTAATGAACTGCTTACACTCTACAGAGACTTGCGCAGTGACAATCCTTGGGGAATGACATATAAAGTCGTTCTGAAAAAGGTCAAAGGACAGAGAACGCCGCAAATAACGTGTCCGTTCACGCTCCGGCGAATAGTAGCAACACTCTTTCCGCAGAGGCCGTCGTATGTGTTGGTAGACTTCCACGGCAAGACGAAGCAATACCAGCCATTACTGATGACGAGCTTTTGAGCGCTTGCAAAAGGATTGGGGACGAAAAAACTCCTGGCCCGGATGGAGTCCCAAACAAGGCTTTAAAGGCAGCGATACGAAGGAAGCCGGACGTCTTCATGACGATGCTGTAAAGGTGTCTGGAAGAAAGGATATTCCCAAATGAATGGAAGGTCCAAAAGTTGGTCCTCATTACGAAGGCTAATAAGCCACCGAACAAGCCATCGTCATACCAACCCATCTGGCTTTTAGATACAATGGGCAAGGTATTGGAAAGGATCGTATATGGACGCCTGCTAGTCGTGGTCGAAGAAAGAAGTGCTCTCTAGTATAACCAGGAGACCGCTGTCTACGATAGAAGCCATAAACCATGTTGCGGCGCTTGCCTCAAACGCTGCAGCCGGAGGGACGGTGATAAAAAGTATTGCGCCGTCGTTACGCTAGACGTGAAAAACGCCTTCGATTCGACAGGCTGGGGGATTATTCGTAAAGCTCTCATAAGAAAGCGGGCTCCAAGGTATATACTGGAGATAATAACAAGCTACTTTTCGAACCGCACGTTAGTATGTGATAGCGACAATGGAAAAGAGTCGCATAAAGTAACGGCGGGTGTCCCACAGGGATCAGTCCTTGGTCCCCTCTTGTGGAACATAACGTATAACGATGGTTTTGAGCGTAACCTTCCCGCCGGAGTAACGATTATCGGCTTTCCCAATGTTATAGCAATCGTAGTGGTTGCAAAATGCGGTTGCAAATACAAAATGTGAAAGGCCACACGGTGAGGTAAATTACTACCTCACCCAGTTCTTGACTGGCCATGGCTGTTTCCGAAAGTACCTGTTCAGGTTCGCGCACGGCAACTCACCAAATTGCCCAGCATGGTGGGAAACGAACGAAGATGCAGAGCATAGCATCTTTCGTTGCAGAAGGTTCGAAAATGGCAGACCCCAAATAGAGCCAAGTGAAATATTGGAGGGATTAACTGCCAGCAAAGAGGTCTGAAGCACCGTAGGTAACTTTGTAAACAGAGTGCTTAAAGAACTACGGCATCTTGAAAAACAGCAGGTGGAGAGCAGAGGGTGTGGAAGCCAATAGTGTATTTCACCGTGGTCCCACAACTGGAAGTGTGCTAAGGACAAGCAGTCTCCACGAAGTAATACCTAACGGTGGTCCCGCGGGGAAGAGTGGTAGAAAAAGCGTGTGGGGGAGTAGTTTCCTAGCACGTAGGCGCCATGGATGGCGAATCGTGCATGCTGCTACTAAGAACAAGCAGTATCTTTTGAAGATTTTCTACTTTCAGCCCGCAGAGCTAAAAAAACACACACACACACACAAATACATACATAAATCCACACATCCAAACAGACAAGTGTATGGGGGATTTTCTATAATAATAGTAGACTATTTCTTTTTTTCTGTCGAAGATCGAACTTCTTCACTCAAATGCTCGTCAATTAAAAAGCAAACTTATCGTTTATGAAAATTCCTACGTACGTCTCTAGATTTAAGCATGTAGATTATATTTAATATCAAATCTGTATTAGAAATGTAGTGGGCTGATAACTGGATAGAGCTGCTGTGGGGCTGCCAATAATTTTCAAAAAGCATATTTTGCTAATACTTAAATATGCTCTACTAACACTGGTTTCATCCCAAAAAATTGCAAAAAAAATGTTTTTTTTTCAAGCCATTGCAGCGGTATTATCCCTCAAGGGGATTAACATTGACAATAATTTTAGATTTAAGCTAAAATGATTGTTGATTACTGTTGCCATACAATAACTGAGGCTTATTCTTACTAATGAAAGCGTCGTTTTCCTTTTTTTTTGCTTTACACTTCCTTCAGTTGTCGTTTAAAATATTTTGGAACGCAATGAAGAAATAAGAAAGCAAATTTCTTTAAGCTGGATAGGGGCTTAAAATTTCTTCTAAACGCTTAATAACGATGCGAAATTTTTGTAATGAGCTTGTACAGCCAGACTTACATCAGTTTCAAGCGTATGCATTCATTTGTTAACTTTAAGTACACGTTAAGCTTATTGTTTAGACCAGAGAGAGCTCTTAATACGAGTAAAATATTTATATATATCTTACACCTTCATCATAATGCAATACTATAAGAATAATTTGTTTCCTTCTTCTAATTTTTTCAGAATATTTTTCAGCATTTTTTTAAAACACATACCTATATATAATTACACACACACACACACACACACATACAGAAACACACACACAAACACACAAATATGTATAATAAAAGTACATACATACTTAAAGAAGGGACAATAGTGTAATGTAAGCATATAATTAAGACAATATTATAACGTACATATATTCTAGATAATATTATAATATTATTACAACTAATTATAATTATGAACTAAATCATTATGAATTTGTTTTGTGAGTACAATGGATACAAACGTCGATACACATATGTATTCATCATAATATCAGAAATTTGCTTAATTAAATATGCGCTTGCATTATTTATTTATATAAATTGTATGTTATGCGTTAATACAAAAAAAAAAAAAAAAAAATGCATAGAGAAAAAGGTGACATAGGTAAAGGTAAGTAAATACCGCTTCTCTTACTCCCCCTTTTTATCTTTAATGTGTATTTAAACCATATTAACAGTGCCGTCTTTATCAAAGGTCGGTATAGAGATAACATCATTTTGGTTAATGGTTGTCGTTTGTTTAATTTGCATACTACTGTATGGCGTTAAATGCTTCTTACTATTGTTAAAGGAAGATGGATTTCCATGTTTTACTAATTGAGACAATGGATTACGCGATTTATGTTGTTGCGCTTGTTGCTGTGCTCTATTTTGAACTGAGGAAATTGTCGGCATTTCATCTGACTCATCTTCTTCGGATTCAGTTTCACTCGCCTCAGACTCGGAATCGCCTGCTTCTGCGCTAATATTTTTCATAGTATTTTCCGGTATTATCTGCGACGTACAAGAGTCATTAGAACTAACTTCTGCAGCAGCAGCTTTCATTTTTTGTAATGCTTCTGGTACATCAGGGTTACTTTCGAGCGTTGAATGTTGACTGGACGGTGAATGGCTGTACTCAGATGTGTTTTCCTCATCTGATATAATGGCTGAATTACGTTTATGTATGGCAATCTTTTGAGCGTTTGGAGGTTTATAACATCGTCTGGCACGCATACCCCGGCCGATTGGCAAGCGTCCAATACTGTAATAATTTAAAAAAATATATAATAAAATTGAAAAGAAAATGTCTACATAATCACGGGATGAAGCTTTAGTTGGTGCTAAATTATGAACTTTTTCAAAATGTTTCATATAGTAGCCGATAACGAAGAAAAATATTGTAAGATACGATGCTAAAATATGCAAATCCTGCAATATTTGAATCGGTTTGTTTGAAGCATATAGAAATATAGGAAATAAGAAAAAATCATATTCCGCTTAGGCCGATTATTTTAATATCTGACCTTACGTTACATATATTTCATTGCAAGGTACAGCGAAAACTCATTCATTCGTTCCTTATATTTGGTACATGGTATCGTACATTTTGTATATCGTATATACTTTAAGTCACCTTTTTTTACAACTCAGTCGCACGCCCGTAGAGAGAGCTAATTGGTAAAATTAAAACTACCATCTATATTTTGCGACTCATCTATATAAATACATAGGGATTTCGGACTATTATGAACGCATTCCTAATAGTTACACGGGGACTTTAAGAAAGGAAAATTTCAGATCCAACTCGAAGGTCAAAAGTGAAAATTGTACAATATTCAAGCCTTACAAAAAGGGGAAAATTATCATTTTGTTGACAATTGTAGACTGGCAGTAGTGACATAAGAAAGCTATATGAAGTTTAATATAACGAATGAAAAAAAAAAACGATTTTGACCCATGAAAGGGTAATATTTTTAATATTTAAATGTCATTCTTTCTATTAGTTCAATTATTTAAAATGAAAGATACCTTCGCCTTTTCAATGAATAATTGTAGTCGGTATCTTCACCTTCTTCGTCCGACCAACTATCCTCACAAAGGTCTTCTTTAGAGTCTCCATTTGCATTGGAAACAGTTACTACATCACTGTTGGTTTGCTGTCGGCCAGAGTTTCTATGGAAGCCAGCACATAGCGACAAATGTGGTGACAGCATTTCCACGCTATGCCCTTTGATGCAATCATCATTTTGTATAATTTGCGAATTACCATTTTCCAATAATGTCGCAGGCGACTGTACATTGGAATTTCCTCTAGTAGTAATCTGATGATTATTTATTACTGTAATTGCATTCGTAGTGGTGTTAATACCGGTGGCTGGTGATAATGTTTGCATCGATAAACGATTTTCATTGATGAGTTCGATTACCTTGCGGCCGAGATTTTCTAGATTTTCATCGTCACTACAACAATCGTCGAGACGTTCATTACTGTTCATAAAATCGTCCAATAATTGATCCGGACTAGAGCAGGCAGGCAATGAGTTGCCATTTGGACTTGTGGGTGTTATTGTTGGCGAGGACGAGTTGTAAAGTTGCTGCTGTTGTTGTTGTTGTTGTTGTATTAGTTTGTCGACCTGTTGAACTGGAGCTGTACGTGGTTCATTTATTTGCCGGCAAGATTTTTGGTTAAGGGACTGTGGATCAAAAATTTCGGGGCAGTGTGCAAGAGGCATAGGGTTATTATGAGGTGAAAAGCAAACGCTTGGACTGAAATCTGTTTCACTGACATCCATCGCATCCGTTTGAGTTTCTGTGTCAACCAGTTGAACTTTACGGTTTTCTGGTTCACTTTGATAGCGACGATCGCGACAAGGACTGTATTTAGGGGCGGGCGCGAAACCACCCGAGCCGATTCTTCGATGGCGCGTAGACTTCTTATTCTTTTGCGGAATCACACAGTATGATTTTGGTTGGAGAGAGCAACTATCCAGTTGAGCATAGAGGTCGCATCTAACAGGACTCTAAGAGAAGAGAGAAGTGAAATGATAAGCAAACATAGCAACTGTATATATTTGTGCAGACTTACATCTGGAGTAGTTTCAGGATCAGGTGTTGATGATTGTTGTTGTTGCTGCTGATGCAACTGCTGCGATTGCTGCCCTAAATTATTGGAGACCATCATCATGGAATTAATAATAGGTTTTCGGCGGCAATTTTGAAATTTGCGGAACGTAAACCGTCGTGGTTGCTTGTAACCGGGGATCTTTTTTTCTCTCCTGATAGGAACAATTAGAAAATAGTTTAGGCTCTTCATAATCTTTCTTTTTTGATTTTCATATCACATATAAACTTACTCCGCTATTTCTTTTTCTTTTTCTTGTATCTGCGACATACATTCACTCAATTCCAAATATAAACGGTTCGTTTTCTCCAATTTGCTCTCATAGACCATACGTATGTCGTGAGCATGACGCCATTCGGCTCTACGCCGTCTTATCAGGTCTTGTTCAAATTTATGAATACTGGTGCGATTCTGTGTCATATCTTTCATGTGAGATCTCACTTCTTCTTTCCAGGAAAGTTGCGATTCAAAATATTTTTTCTCAGATTTGCGCAAAAGTATGGGTCCATCGATTTCCAAGTGTGACAAAATGTGACGAAACGACGGACGGCAACGTGGCTTAACGTGCCAGCAAAGGTTAATTAAAAGTTTAAAACCTTCAGGACAAGTAGAAGGTATAGGAAGCTTTAATGCATTATTGCCGACACCCCAGATAATAGCTGATGAATCAACATCTTTATACGGTATCTCGCACGTTAGCATCTCCCAAAGCACCACGCCATACGACCAAATGTCTACTTTTTCTGAGCAAGGCTCATTGCGTATGACCTCAGGAGCCATCCAGGCCACCGTGCCAGCGAAACTCATTTTTGTACTGATCTCGTTCCACTCACGACTGGTGCCGAAATCACTGATTTTGACCGTTTCGTTTGTACTTATTAGTATGCTGCAAATATATTCCGTAGGAATAGGTCATTAAATTCATTTAAATATTTTTAACAAACTTACTTAGGACTTTTCAGATCCCGATGAATAATTTTATGTGAATGCAAATATTGCATACCCAAAGCGATTTGTTTCGACCAAGAAACTAGGCGGGACGGTTTCATTACTTTTTCGGTCTTTAAAATATTCTGCAATGGTCCAAAAGGGCAGAACTCCATTATAATGCAAAACACCGGGGATTGCGTACAAACACCTCTGCATAAAATTTATTAACATAAACAAATTCGTCTTTTTTTATAAATCACTGCGACCCATCCTTTACTCACTTAAATTTGATGATATTCTCGTGATCTAATTTTCTTAAATGTTTAATATCCGTTTCTTTGACATCTTTCACCTTTTTAACGGCTACTGTTTCATTTTTCAAACGACCACTAAAGACGGCTCCTTGTGCTCCGCTACCCAGCCAATGTAAATCAGTTATGGCCTCGAACGGTATCTCCCAATCTTCGGTTTTTTGATTTTTAATCTCTATCACGCCGGCCTTACCAATAAAGGATAGCACCGGTTTCATACAGCCCAATAAGCCATACATCCAACCTATAGGTTTCTCTGAATGAGCGAATGATCCTCCGGTGGGAGGCCACCGGTGTTGGCAGGAATTCTCCGCACTACTATCACTCATTTGTAATTCATGTTGATGATGATGATTGTGATGATGAGATATAATATCCGCTTTATATGGCAGTTTCGGGGGCGCTAACCCTAAATTATTAAGCTCATCCTGAATGCAAGCCACACTACAAAAAAATAAGATAAGAGAGAACGAAAATGTAGTTAATACCGCTCAGCAATCGATTGATTGACTGCATATGGAAACCAAAACAAAGCTGACTAAAGTGTTTGCTACAATTTGCGGTTCGCAGATACGAAAAATTTAGTTTTCATAATTCCATATAAAAATCGTTCTATTTTTTTTCAATTGTGTATCAGTCCGTGTATTAATCAGAATTCATATCATTTATAGTTTCATTAAGCATTGATGAAAAATTGGGTAAAATTTTATATATGACGATTAGATTAACCAGTTAGATTACCTTATAAGAAAAAGTGTTAGGGAAGTCATTTGCACTTGTTTCTAATATTGGAAATATCCTATATTAAGTGAAGATTCCGGCAGAGAAATCTTTTTCCTCTCCAATTATAGTATTATGGAATTTTGTGGGCTAGAGAAGTTATAGGTGGGTTGGAGAGTATGATAGGCATCTTTTGTGTCGATATTTTCTCCTCATGGGGAGATCTATAGCAGGATTGATCTTATCATCTAAATTCAGATACCTCACGTGTTTGGATGACCGTGGTGCATTGTGTACGGGCTTGGCATATGATAACAATTTTTTCGAAAACTTTCGTGCTAATTATAGCTGTACCTCAGCTCGCGAGAGTATTATAAAACCTCTGATTATTGGCCTGGTATTTAGCTAGGGGAAAAACATCCCTAATCCAGTAGAATAGCAAATCTCTGGTGAGCAGTGAGTGGCGAAATATTTATTTCATGTGCCATCGGTCACCATTAGCATTGGTTCACAGATTAGTATCTGTATATATCAAACACTAGGAGCGTTTAACTGAAAAATGCATTGAAAAACCACTCTTCATGGGATATATACGATGTATGAATTATGCTCATGTTTTCAATATTTTTTGCTGTAATCAAGATGACGTAGGCTGAAAATAATTCCAATATTCGGCAATAAATTCTTTCGATCTACTTTGCATTTAATATTTAATCAATGCACGCGTGAAAAACTAAATTCTTAATTAATTAAAAAATATTTTGTAACAGTATTCGAAAGTGCGATGTTGTGTGCTTCTGTTACCCACTCTTCGTTCAGGCACGTAGTGTCCCAAGAGCGTGATGGTTTTGCATTGTCCTTTATTTAACGTTTGATTCAATCTTTCATTCTATCAATATTTGCTCGTGGGGACATGAATCATACACAACTTTTTGCTTAAGAGAAAGGACTGCAAGTTAACATCCTTCCCAAGTAAAGTAAGTCTTTTTGGACTTGACTCGGATATAAATAATGATGAAAGGGAAAGTTGAGATTTTTTGCAATCATTCTTATAAATGATGCGCTCAACTGTGCTTTGTTTATTGAAATCATTCTTATAAATGATGCGCTCAACTGTGCTTTGTTTATTGAAATTATTTAAAAACATTGATTAACCTTAATGTTATTGTAAAAGGCATCGTACCTGACACCTATAGAGTAACAATATTTCATTTTTAGCTTTACGCTATCAGTTAATTTGATTCGTACCAAACGTGTTGTGGTACACGTCTTAAGCAAAAAAAAAATAAATAAATAAATAAATAAATAAAAAATAACACTATTAAAATTTATATACAAATATATTTATAAAAATTGGTATTTTTCGTATGTGGATTAGCGAATGAGTAAAGCATTTACACGCCGTGTAATAATCTTGCAAAAAACAGATGATCGATCTATTTTGCCTTACTACTGGAAGAAATCCAATTAATTCTTATGGTTTTATACAACCGAACGAATGAAGCAATAGACGAAATACAATGAAAGCTTAATAATATCTTAGATGGCACAGGAAGAAGACAAATAAGCCGCAATACATAAAACAAGTGTGTTTTAAATAAGTAAAACAGTGGGTAATAAGAAAAGTTGTAGAGGTTAATATAAAAGCTGCTAAGCAGACACTAGGACTTTATTTGTGTTATATCAACGTACACGAATTATTACAATTATAGCATTAAGACATCTGTATAAATTTTCCAGAAAATTAATCTTGTTTTTATTGGCTTACTAGATTGTTTTTAAATTTCTAGTAAGAGGGTAAAAAAGTTTAAGATATGGAAGGAATTATCTTCCTTGAAATATCAAAAAATTCGCCAAGCAATCTGAAAAAAGACTACCTGCGTCAAATAGCTTGTTCCTAAGAAGATACAGCATAACGTTTTAATTGTCAATTTGCCAATTCTATGCGACATTAATAGATGTCTTCAGAAATTTTTCATGTCCATTTAAAAGCATTTTCAAGTAAAAGTGTTCCAGCACGCTATGGATTGTGAAAGGTTTGCATATAGTCATTAATTACCAATGAAAAAATCTTGTCTTGATGCCGATGTTAAGCGCATCAACTGCACCGAGTTATCTCTTGACCAATGTAGCAAGTGGGATGTGTTCTAGCATAAAATCTTCAAGTGACAAGAATGGGAAACAATATTTGCGCACGAAAGGGCAGTTTTATGCTCCTGGGATAGTAAATTTATGATATATATTTTCAAACAACGATTCTAACGAATTTTAAGAATTTGACACATTTTTCGTTTTTATCTTGGACGCTAGCCAAGCAGGATGCAATCGAAATGTAGAAAACGTACGGCTGTGCCAGTGCTCGCTCGTACAATAACTGCCACTGCCGTAGCATTATAAACGTAGTCGTGGCTTGCTACGCTTGTAATGTAAATTTGCGTGGCTTGACAAGGAAAAATTCATTGATGCGGGTATGTGCGTATGCATGCATTTCAAATCTATGCCAGACGTCAAGCTATCTTAAAGGTTATAATAGCTTTCTATAAAAAAATATGTTGACGAAGCTTCCAAGAAAACAATTAAGGACCTTTTTTTTGCTAAAACTCTTTTGGTCGATGATCCATGTCGTTGTGAGCCTACAAATTTCGGTGGCATGTTACCAAAACTCTTATCGTTGAAGATAACATTAAAATATGTCTGATAAATGTGTCTGATATGTTTTTAATAAGAAAAGGAAAAATAAAAACCAACGGCATTGATTCTTCAACAATGAATTTCAAAATAAAATAACTAAGTGATATATATACCTACCTAGTTTGTTTTCTATAAATTACCTTAGATATTTTTTTTATCAATAAATGACTTGCTTTAGTTCACTAAGAGCGCAGAAATTCATATTTTTAAAATTCTCTTTGTGCTCGAATAGTTAAACATGTAGATTAAATGAATTTTTTAAACTGAAATTCGCACCATTGACATTCAGGTAATGTGATGACTCTCAAAAAAAAGAGAGAAAAGAAAAAGAAGAACTATGGAAAGGTGGTAGCCGCAGTCTGATGGGTGTGTGTCCGACCGATATGCGTTTTATGCCTCTACCGATTAAGCACTCACTTAGCTAGGGGCTATCGTAGTTGCGATTTGAATTCGTGAACGCGGACAGACATATGGCACACACTGACATGTTTGCAACGAAGGGGAAAAACATTTCCATTTCTAATGTTGCGCGACAACAATCTGTCAAAAATAATATATTCACGTACTGAATGCGGGCGAATTTCGGATAGAAAGGGATCATTGATTCAACTCCTCTTATATAGGATGATCGTACTTGCAAAAAAAGTAAAAAGCTTGTATATGACAATAAAGTTAAATTTCTCGTAATATATCAGAAAATATAATATGTATGTGAAAATTTACCGCGAGAAATTCAATCAGAAAATCAATCAAGTCTTATGATTTATATCTAATTTTAATGAAATTGATAAATATATATATTTGCAGTAGCATTATAACCTTATTAACCTTGAAAAAGTTACAATAAAATTAGGTGAAATTGACCGATAATAGCGACCCTTCCAAAAAGACGTAATTCTTTGTATCGATCAATAAGTCCTGGGACCAATTAAAAGGAATTTTTTTTTAAATTCTTAAAAATCCTGAATGCTCCATACTGCATGATCATGACCTCATCATTTGATCCAAATCTTTTTCTCGAAAGCGTCACGCAAATGATTGAAATAACATGGAATTTCAACAGATCTCACCAATCGATTCAAATCTTTATCTCGAAAACGTCCTTTCCAAATTTGCAAGCACCTAAGTAATCTAAATGAGATAAAATTTCGGCAGGCTTCCTTTGGGCGATCGCAATCTTAAAAATAATATGCGTTTGTCGTTAGACAAATGTAATGTATGTGTTAGTCCTTGAACATTTTGACCTATGTATTGCTTAATGGTATGGTTTAGTCAATAATAAAGATTTAATATGTACGGTGTTATCTTTAGGCTCTACAAGCCTATTCTATCGATATTCTTATACATGGTTACCAAGAAAAGTAAGATTTGTATGCGGTAAGAAGATTTAATTTCTAGTACTTTATGTCCCATATAAAGTTTCTCATAAGGTTCATACGGTTCTCTCTCACGTATAACAAAAGAAAAATTATTGTTGGAAATTTTAGCGGAATACGAATCTTACTTACGAAAAAAACTTTGTTAGTTTGTACGCTTTTGTCCTACAATCTATTAAACTAAGCTATTGAAATTGTAGTGAGTTGAAAAGACGTGCAAAGTCGTTCCATGTTCTGTCGAAGTTTGCATTCGTTCCCTACTACTCTCTAGACTTTCAATGAGCAAGATTAGCGTAGTTACTTATTTTAATCCTCTCATTTATCTATATTCGTTTCTTTGTCTTCACCGCGTTATTCTATTTATAAGTTTTTAGCTAATTTATTATATTATTTTATGAAGTTTTCAGGTTTTGAGTTCAAGCGATTGCTGTTACGATAAAACAAAAATATTGATATATACGGTTGTCAAAAAGTGAGTGCCAATGTATACTATAGGAAACAAATATTTTTTCATTTTTTTTTTTTTTTTTTTGTTTTGCATACATGTAAATATATAGTATATGTAAAGTAAATTGTTACAATTCTAGTACAATTGTTTTATTTTTACCTCCCAATATGTTTTTGCTTTTTCTTATTAGAAGCACTTGTTTTTTACTATAGTTAGCGTTAATCGTTTCGGTTTTTTTTAGTATGATATTTATTCGTGTGTTAAATGCGTTCCCCCATTCCGCAATATCGAGAAATCAGTAACGAAAGCCTGAAGAATGCTTGATTGATTTGTCTGTTTCTTTTTTATCTAAAGTGAAAACTTGTTTACAAATAAATTAAAGAAAAAAAAAAAAAAAAAATAGCAAAGATAGAGCAAAGAAGAAGAAAACGTAGTGTAAAATTAATTCTATACCAAGTGGTCAGAGGTAACACATATGGTTTTCGAACGCACCCATCAACAATGCTGAGACTGGTCTTCCAACCTTAGAACACGTAGAGTCTATGGGTTAAAAGTCAACATACTCCTGAAACTTCTCAACTATAGTTACTAAAAAAAAAAAAAATCAAAAGATACCAATACACAATTTACCCCTGTATACATATTGCAAAAGCGATAACCGTCGCCCCAAACGTCTCACGAAAACCACTGTGGCTTTTAAAATTCAACTTTTGTGATACCTCAGTAACAACATACCGAAAAACAATGTACGCCCTATATCTTCGTTAGAGAATTAAGTGCAGAGAGAGCTCACTATTTGGGAAATAGTGTTCGGCACTTTCTTTCTACAGACGGTTACAAGCCGTTGGCGATCTGTCCCTTGCCTTTTCAAGTGAACCATGTCATGCACGAAAATGCTTCAACGTTCACAACCAAAGCTAGAACGATTCCTCAAGCCATAGTTCTTGCTTGCCATAGTTCTAAACTTGAGATAGTTAAAACTGCAGATAGGTTGTCGATCAGAAAAGCTGCCCAGAAACACTTAAATTTCAATTGATGCATCATTAACAAAGTAAGAAATATCATTGCCACTTACGGATATAATGTAAAAATTTTTTAGATCCCGAGCTGCCACATCTACAGCTTCGGCACTTTTAATTACGGACAGCAGCGTGGAAAAGATTGACCTTTAAAAATATTTAAAAAAAAAAATGAAAGAAAACAATACCGAAGAAACTCGTTCTAACATCAAGGTCAAATAATCTTGCAAGAATTCGGCTTGGTCATACTACGGCGATACATCAATAGATCCTTAAGGGACCAACACCTTCCAATTCGCAGTTCCGAACAAAATCTTGCAATAAAACCTATATTTTTTGAATGCCAAAACCTTTTCGAAATTCGAAAATCTGTTTTCGGAGCGTCTAAGGCTTCGAAAGATGTCTTAAAAAAAGAAGCAGAAAAGTAGCAAGAAAATATTCAACTCTATTAAAGTGATTAGATTAACCTTATAAAAAATCGCGGATTGTTTGTCTTAGTTGCTAGTGCCCAGCCTACTTTTAGTACTAGAATTTATAGCGGAAATAAGTGGAATTTTCCTTTTGGGTAGATAATAATCTCTGAGAGGCTCTTCGCTTCATTTCGCCACTTTAACAAACCACTGTAAGAGTCTTAAAAATGGCGGTTTTTTTTTTTTTAATAACTTTATAGCTTATGGGATAACAATATTCGAAGAAGTTATTACAAATACAATGAGAGTATTCCCAAAAGAATAATTTGTAAAAAATGGGAACACCAGCGACGACTGAAAGGAATGGAAATTTGTAGCAACTGCATTTAAAATGTTGGTATGCTTTCTATTATACATCTTTTTTTACATTTTTACTATTACACTGCAATATCGGAAGCATAAGAATACTCCTTCTCGGTTTAAGTATTCTTTCTCCTTACTCGCATATTTTTGTGATAGCAGGTGCAGTCTTTCTTGCATCCGGTTGACATGCCGCGAAATGGAGGAGGAAAGATCAAGAAAATATATAATTCATCAATTGAATTGAAAATTAGCATGTAAATCTTCATCGCGAGCTCTTCATCCCTTGGCAGAAGCCATGACTCTTTTATATCTCGATGGTTGTCTCAATGAATAAACACAGACGTTTTCCAAAGATTAAAGAAGGTACAAATTTGAAATATTTTTTTAGTATATTAAAGAATATAGTAATGAACAATTAAGATGTATAGGGTGTAATTTGCCAGCACGGCTTTGTTCGTCCTTTTGAAAGGTTTATGGTAGACCATGAAAATTCGGGAAATCATCTTTTCGGGCAATGAACTTTCCTTTTTCCATATCCCCGAAGGCTTTCTTGGAAAAATCGACGCTGGACTTTATTCGACTTTGACCGGCATTTGTGGTTCGAATATAGTCTCGCACAGTTGCAGTAACTTGTTTACGCACTGCGTTTATATTTTTTATGCTATTTCTATGTGCAAGGGGTCTTGATCTTATTTGGATTATGTTCAATAGATATTGTGGTGTTACATATCACATATACGTGGATCACGTGGTGCCTTGAAGCGTTTGGTCATCAAGCTTGAATGCAGAAGAAACACCCGAGCATATACTATTCGCCGGTACAAGATACGCTAATAAGCACTGCACAATAGAAGACTGCATAGGCGCTGCGACTATGCCAAATCATCTACCATCCATCGATCTGTTGAAGTATTACGAGGTGTGGAACTGATTTAGAGTTATTTGCCGCCCTGCTACTTAAAGTAGAACACAGCAGATCTATAAAGTTGTTTCCATGACGGGCAATTTGATCTGGTTTGGATAGTTTCCCAGCCGTAATACTTAACAGTTATTCTGGAGCTGGGGGAATATTGTCGGGTTGAGTGGCGAGATATTAGTCTTTTATTGCTTTCCCTTCACTTATCAAAGGCAAGCAAAAATGAAAGCAACTCTTGAGATAGTTTTCGCATTAATTGTCTTTTCATTTCTTTACAAAGTTTTTATTAAAATCTTGTGCTTTTCCTTTCTCATAATAATAAAAAGTGCATAATTTATATATCTTTGGCCGCATGTGGCATTAAAAGGATAATACATTGTATGTCTTCTAATGAAATACATTTGTTCCGTGATTCGGTAGAAAATTTTGGCGACTTTTTTCCTTTTTAATCTATTATTATCATTCAGTATATAAAAGTGAAATTAATCCTTGTGCTTAGTAATACTTCTTAGAGGCATTACATGAAGAAATATTAAGTCATTTTTAACATACCTTTTCACTTCATTCGATTTATGTGGTGGTTCAAAATTACGCCCAAACATTGGAATGTAAAACACCATGTTGAAACACTTTCTCAAAGCGTATAAGTAAATAATTTTATAAAGTTAGGTTTACTTCGATATATTTGCGAATCGCAAGCACGTTTTTAAATTATGTTATTATTTGTTATTGTGTTACATATCTATTTATCTTTTTATTTAATATGCGCGTATAACTAAATATTTATATATATATATTCGATCGTGATCCAATCTTTTATACACCCACAGTGATTCTCTAAAAAAAAAAAAAAAAAGAAAAGAAATAAATTTTCGCTCCCTATAATATTGGGCGGTTGATTTTTTATATTATCAGAATAAGAGTAGAACAATACGAAAAGCGAAGGTGTTCACAGTGTTTATTGCACAGGCGCATCCTTTGACCAGTTTGGGTAATTTTTAAGTTGTTTTGCAAATTCGTAGATGATGATATCATGATCATTTTTAAATGAATGAGATGAACAGAATGATATGCTTAGATGCATTCCGAGTTCGAAAGTGGCCAAATATTGATTAACTTATTGGATTTTTGAAGCTTGTTTCTGCACGTTGTAAAGGTATTGACAAAAAAAATAATTAAATTTTGATACTCTATATATATTGAGTAGGCGTGGTCAATTTGGCCTGTTTTTGTAAAAGTAATACATCATCACCCACAGAATATACGTTCAAGTTCTTATAAATTTATTTGCCATAATTTATGAGTAATGAGCAAAAAACCATTTTTTTCTTAATTCTCAGTTTAGGTGGTACCGTAGGCGCGTCCTTCAAACGATTTGGTCCCGTATACAAGAACTTCCAATGTTTCTGTTAGATTTGAAGTCGTTTTTTGCGACTTGGTGGAGACTGTTCACAGCACAGATGGACAGGCGGACAAAGTATACTTTGCGGGGTCTCTGTTGAATGTTTTGACAAAATGAAAATACTTTTTCTCATTCGGCGATGGGTATAAAATTGATCAATGACAAGTTTTTGCCGTCGATTGCATCGTCCAAGTGCGTTTGTTCAGTTGAACTTGATATAAAAAAAAAATTCGAACTTCTACACAGAGCTTGTTGCTTAAATTCGATGTGGTCGACGTACAATTCTATACCAAAAATAAGTAAAAACATTCGAGCATTCGAGTCGAGCAAGGTCACCTAATACTATTACTTATTTATTTTCATCATAATATGCGAATAATTAGTCTTGATTTCTATCTAGAAACTAATGATCCTTGTTACAGAAGGATTTCTAAAAACACTGAAGGCTTCATATTCCGCAGTGATCATTTGATCCAAATCTTTTTCTCGAAAGCGATTTTTCAAGATATGAAAACAAATAGCAGTTTCTGTGGATCAGGTCCCGGGCATAAGATGAATGGCGCAACAATTCGAATTTCAATTCATTTAAATTTTTTATTGTGATTCTGCATTGTTGTTGCCCTGGTTTCTCAAGATCAAACTTTCATATAAAAATAATGAATGCACTGCCTTTTAATATATTTACGACTTCTATATTACGAGCTATATTTTGCTAATTCACTTTTTCAGGCTGTAATCGTACCTTTTGGGCGTCCACAGCGTTTAACGTCGTTGACGTCCGTAAGAAACAACGCTTCTGCGCAACTTTTTTTATATCAAAAAGTAACATTTCATCATAATCGTCAAGTTGAATTTTTCCATTGTTTTGAAAATAACACAAATAGCATCACAACAACTGTTGTTTTGCTCAGCTTAGCAAACCATGTATTGTAGGTTTCCTAATATGTAGAAGAAGAAGAAATTTCAATAGAAGTCGTTTGGAGACTCACATTTTCGTAACGTAATATGAATTGTTTGGTACAAGCGACGTCTAGGTATCAGTCCCCTGAGGTATTAGTTCACTGGTTGATTCTTCTTCTTTTTTTTGTTTTCTTATGCTATTTATATCGTCATGACTATATGTCTACATACCTACATGCACGATTGAAAGTTTTCTTTTATCGCCCTTCATAAAGCAGTAAATTTTGGGCCCAACTGTATGTGTTATTGTGTTGCCCGCATGGGAAAGAATTTTATGGAAAGAAAAACTTTCCTATATTATGGATTTTACTATATTTCACCCAAAGGTGGTGATATATTCATTTTCTCAAAGCATTTGCAAAACTCAGAAGGAAGCTCCAGAAGCTCCTTTAAAATGTGTATAAATTCATTATCAGTATCAAATTCTGATTCGATCTGGGCGCATCCACGCGCCGTTCTATGTGCCTACGAATAGTAAACGTTCTTCTGATTGCAAAAATGACGCTATCGACTTGAAATGTCGCAAAAACTTTGGGAAGTATTCTACGCATGCTGGTCTTGAAAATGATTCAAATCGATCGCAAGAGCCAGGCACAGTAGAATGTAACCTAAAAACCCCTAAACTCCTGCGCCATTAAAAACAATAACAAAATTCGATTTTCTGTTCTTTACTCAGAAACCACAACAATGTAAATATATATATTCTTGCGGGGCGATCTACGATACTATCTGTGCAAAAATGGAAAAAAATTGACCATTTCCATCCGATGTTACAGAGCAACAAAATTACACTTTTGTTAAGATTTCCGTTAAGCCAAGTGCGGTGAGATTAGGAGATTCGATCGCAGTCGCATATAATTTTGTTGCTTGGTTTGAGTCGAGTAATTTAAATGATCATTGAATTTCAATAGCCGCAACAATTGCTATATATATGGGATCTATTTACACTTAAAATATTTTTGATATATATTTACTTAATGAAATTGTTAATAATTAAATATGAGATTTATTGCAACAGAGTGGGAATTAAATAAGTGCTCGTGTCTCTCTAAAACCGGGGGTCGCATTAGTTCATGTAGCTTTTTATGCCGCCAGTGTACAAAGTGGTTATTATATACCTGAACGTGTATGAGTGTAAACTAGTAATGTAGTTTAAATAAAATTGGTTAGATTTCTTAATAATTATAAAGAAAAAGAAAAGCCAACAACAGCAATCAATATATTAAACTCTTTATAATTATAACCAATAATATAAACAACAAATTGCGAGCCATTTACACGGTACGTATATATGTGGGTATGCACTTATAATGTGGTCATATATTTCATATATATTAATATACGTGTATATATATATATATCTATATATACGTCTATATGACGTCAAGGTGATTATATTATTGTTGGTATTGTTGCTATTGTTGCTATTTCGTTTGTATATATTGTATACAAGTTATTTATCAAGTACAATAATTGTCATAAACAGCATTATTAGTAGCTTTTTGTTTCAGTTTTTATATCTATCACCGAAGCATGAGGGGTATGTATATTCATTTTGTTAAAACATTTGCAACGACCAGAAGAAAACATCAGAGATCCCATAATATATATATATATATATATTCTTGATCACAATTAAATTGTATATCGACTTAATTGTATGTCCGCCTGTCCGACTTCAAATTTGACAGAAATATCGGAAGTTCTACCACGCAGGTACGTTGGTATTGAAAATGCGACAAATCGGTCGAAGGACACGACCACAGAATTGCATAAACTGAGAATACCTTGGGTTTTCAAAAGGAATGAAAAATTGATTTTTTGCGCGTGACTCGTAAACTACAGCAAATAAACGTACAAAAATTTGAATGCATAATTTAGTGGGCGATGCTGTAGCATTCGTGCACAAAAATGGAAAAAATTGGCCCATTGTTATAGTGTATCAAACCTTAACTGTTTTTCCAATACCTTTATAATGCGCGGAATCCAGCTTCAAAAACACCTTAAAGTATGCAAATTCTTGGCCAATTTCAAATTTGGAATACACCTGAACATGTCCGCCTGTTCGTATGTCCCTCCGTCTCTTTGTGGAAATTTTGTAGAATTTGTATTAAACATTCTCCCGTTAGCGGAAATGAAGAAATCCCCCCCCCCACAATTTTGCAAAAGAATTTGAAATTGATTTAAACTTTTCAAAGGACACGCCTATAACGGCCACATGCCTATATGACAAACACTCCATGTTATAGGGCATGAAAATTTTATACCTTTACTTCTTTTGTCTACTTTAGGATAACGGTGATGGATATAAAAGATTCGGTCCCGGCCCAATTTAATTTTTTTACATGTTCTTTTTGTTTTTGTTAATGCTATAGATATAATAACATACCATTGATGTTGAGTAGTATTATTGCTGGTTAAGCAAAGAGATAATAATGATAGCAGAAAGGTATGGCATGTATATATATTTGTGTGCGTGCGGCTACATCTGTAAACTATTACAATAGGATTTTTATTTGTCTTTCCTAAGAAAAAAAAAATCACAATTTTCACAAAATATTTTGTTGCTTGTCTTTTCAAAAAACAGACCAAAATTGCGATTTAAAACGAAATTTTAACACCCTATGTTAGCGAAGTAATATTTTGAAAAAAAAAAAAAAAAAAAATCAAGAACTGGTTATACAGATACATACGTATATTTGCCTTTCTCTTTACTAAGTGACGGTTAAAATATGTGCTAATATTTTTTAAGAAAATATTCATTGAGATCCCTTACACATACAAAATTTACGTTTACTTGTGTACGAAGCATAGAGGACCTGCGTATTCGATGAATATCCTTTTCTTATTTTTGAAGAAATAAGATGAAGAAATTCGCGAAGAACTTGTAAACTATTATAGCATAGACGTAGTACGCTGGCGCGCTAAGATGCTCTCTCTCTTCAATAGCCGTGATCCGTGGGACTCTCAGTCCCGTCTGTTCACGTCGATGAAATTAAACCTTTATTCGAATTCGGTTACCATTTGTCTGACAACTAAGCGATGGCCAGACATAATCTCAATATTGATCAATTAAACCCCCATATAAGAATGCTTTAGGTATCAAATAAAGACCACAAAGTTACTTCCAACTTGATCCTGTGATATTTGCCGAACAAAGACGAATTGTTTACAAGAACAACTATAATAACTGTTGTAAATAACTTTGCAAAATCAACTCGATTTTTTTTTAAAAATGACCTTAATTGCGTTCAAATGTTATATTAATACGCATAAATCATAATCGTCGGAAAAGTGTTTAGGGCATAAACCTGTTCTCTCCATAATACATAAAGATTTAATGGTACTTTTCAAATTTACACTAAGATACGTGTTACAATAGTGTTGCGTTGAAAATATTACCACACAACATGAATAGTAGATGTTTGTGTCTTTAATACGTCAACGCAAATGGCCTGGGAGCAGGCGGAGGGTCTACTTTAAGTATGCATACGGTTGGGAGATTCCCTTCGAACTAACTATAGCATTAAGCGTAAGCGAGATCTAACTTATGAAAATTTAACGAAATTCTCTTCTTCGCTAGTCTTTCATATTTGTATCTTCTATTTTTATTTTAGTTATTGCCATATTTATATTTTTATATATCACTAAACGTATATATTTTTATTATATTTTTTCTTTCTTTTAACTTTTTTTTTTTTGCGTTAACTTTGTTTTATATAGGCAAAGCACTGCAACAATAACAAGTGATTTTTTTCCTTGCTTTCGTTTAAATGATAATGAAACTTATTGTTTTTGTTATTATTGTTATTAAAAAAAAAAATAAATAAATAAATAAATAACGCATACGTCTATATGAAATGTGATTTTGTTTTCCTTGTAGAAACTGTTCACATATTCACATATTAACGAAAGGTATAAACGTCTGAAAGTTGTTTACCCGCGTTCACATCTGTATACCGATCGGTAGAGAATTTCTTCATGTACTGAATAAATTTCTCATATTGAGATTGTTCGTAAAAGTTTTGCTTGGTTTTGCAAAAATTAACAACAACAATAACTAGCGCTTATAATAACAATAACAATAATAATAATAATAATAATCAAACGGAGTAAATTAATACAAAACACGAGAGTATAAAAATCATAAAGTGAGATGAGTATTACATGCAAGCACTGTTCTTTGTACATCATGTGTATTGATTGCGATTGTAAGCTAATGAGTTCGCTGTATTTGTTCTGTTTGATTGTGTTACCAGCAACATTAAAAAGAGTTGTCGCAAAGACAATGTGAATACGTAGAAAACATTCCATCAGTAACTTTGAAGTGAGCGATAATATCGCAACGTGTACAATATGAATACGGAGCAGAAATGTGAGTAATAGCACTTGAGACGATCAATGAGAAACACTTCAATATAATCTAAAAATTTTTAATTTCACATTTCGTTACCGTTAGCCTTTCGCTATATTATTTCAAGTGACAAAATCCCGATTCCTAAGGATACTGTTTGTTAACGGGCATTTTTCTTACAAGTTGATTTCAATTGCAAAAAGAAAACTCAATCAATACGATTCCGATCTGGCGTCTAAATGGCATTGTTAAAAAGGTTTGCTTGTTATTATTAAATTAATAGAACTCTCCGTATAGAACGGGTACAAGTTCACGATAATGAAATTTAAATCGTTTTCTTACGGCAGCTATCAAAAATAAACGTACGCTTTCTACTTTCCCTGAAAAGATGACCAATTGCTAATGCATAGGGCGACTCAATGTTTGGGATAAAATGTATATTTGGTATAAAAAATTTATGAAAACATTGCGAAGGACTACGAAATGCTACATTTTCGCATAGTACGACACAATAGAAAGAAGCAAAAACGATATATAGTAAGCTACGAACCATCATTAAATACTGTACACCATTTCGTTAAATGCAGTTATTCATACAACAACTACTAAAAAAAAAGCCTTGTATGGGAAGTGGTCAAATAAATGGTCCGAACCGAATTTTTTCAACAGCGTTCTTTCACCAAAAAAACATCTCCAAAAATTGTGATCTGCAAATTGAACAAAAGAATATATGGGCAGACATCAGACCAACAAACGGACAGACAGAAAGGGATAATGAATCGGTATAATAAAATATGCGTATATCTCAAGTCCTTTTCGATGTTGTATATATTCGCAAAAATTTAATATATCCTTGTACCGCAAGTGGCGTAATTGAAATTAAATGCAGGCGTACAAGCAGTTTAGATGAAGAGCGCTCTGCACGTCTAAAAATTGTCATTACCGCAAAAACCTTCACTAAAGTACATATGGTACATATGGTATTGGCAGGTCGCGAGATAACTCAAGCCGAGCAAGTCTCGGCCATAGGCCTCCCATTTCGACAAGAATGCACAATCTCAATCAATTTTTGGATTCAAGATGAGTACCGTATTTGTTGCCTTGGAATAAAAATGCTTTGAAGTACAGAATATCTGAAATAAGTTGCAACATATCACAAGAAATAAATGTCGATGGATTCAAAAGACGCGTAGTGTCGCTTTTAGTGAGTAAGAGAACTCTAGAAGATCATATTGCATATGAGGTACACGAACGGTGACAGTAAATAGACAACGAAAAAGAAAATATGGTGACCTTTTTCTATTCCGCCCGAAGTAATGAGCGTTTCAAGAATGGGCGAAAAAGAGTTCATGGTAAGAATGGATGCGACGCATTTTTGCCCAATTGCCCAACAGTTGATAAAGTTGATGAGATTCTTCAAAAAGTAGAGAAGCATCGACACATTTCATTACGACGTTGTTGCGTCAACCAAAACTATACGTTGATAAGAAACAATTTTGAATCGCTTGGATAAGATTTGTGCAACAAACGAACTCGATATATGGTTGTCGCGTGAATTAACAAGGAAAATTTCAAGGGACTGAGTTTCCACGTACGGATCTCTTATGGCGAAAAAAAAATCGCGGTCCAAGATGAATGAAGGTGCACAAACGATGATAAAGTCCATATTGACATCACCTAAGGTTGAATGGGCTATCCCAAGCCTGCCTAACGATTAATTGATTCTCCTCTCTAACCGATACCATTAAAGCACCCAATGTTCAGAATTAATCAATAAGGAGGGGCATATTCTTCCAGCACTACAACGTCAAGTTAATAGTTTGACAAAAAAGAGCTAGAGCCCCGATGAACATTTTTGACGTATCCGAAGTTCTACAGTGATATCATATGGGTTTCACCACGAAAATGGCATTTGTTTATCGATCAAAACTGGCACGTATTTAGTCTAATGAACTTCGTTCAAAATATAAGAAAAATTTATTTGAATTTCGCTTAAAAAACGCTCGCGACTTTTTCGTATTATATACCCTTGAGCACTTATGATAAAGGATATAAAAAGTTGATTCGCTCGTCTTTCATTATACCGATCGATTTAGAATCATTTTCGGAATGGATCTAAGCTTGTCTGTTCGCCTAGCCATTTGCCCGTCTGACATCTGTCTATGTATTTTTGTGTTCAATTGTTCGGTTCACAATTTTCGAGATATTTTGGCGAAATTTGATACACTGACTTACCTTGATCCAAGGATAAATTCCGATTGTACAACTTTTCCGACTCATATAATGCTTGTTGACTTTGATAAGTCGACAAATAAAAAATTTGTGTAATTTTCAAGATTTCGCGATAAAAATCGCTTAGAAGTAGTGTTGCGGCATTCTTAATTGCTGTGAAAAGCTATGGATCGGATGTGCCTCCACCTTTGAGCCCGATATAACCATTTCTTCGGAAACTGAATCTTTATATAGCAAAAAAGACTAATTTTCAATATTGCTTGATGAAAATTTGTTCATAATAATAATTTAACATAAAAATTAACTTTGCCGAATTCGGACCATGTAGACCTATTTTTGGGACGGCAACTCATATAGGAGTTTTAAACAAAAATAAGGCCCCATCTTTATTATATTTTATGATAAAAATTGGTCCTCATTAATTAAACTATAGGAAATTTCGAAAGCATAAGTCTACCGAACATTCTATATGGGCTATCATAAGAAGCAAGTCCTTCAATAGCGATAAAGTCTAATTTGTGGTATGTTATGACAGAAGCAACAGAAATCAACAAAACTTGTGAAAGGATAAGTAAATTAAATCTGTCAGATTTATTGCGAAATGGTTCGGATCAGGCTTCTTTCTATATAACATGCTTTAATTTGAAAAACCGTTATCTGAATCTGTAGCGTGGTGTAGGATATTTATTGATGGGCCGTAACTCACTACTAGCGTTTTACTTGTCTCTTATAAATTCTGCATATTGCAATTGGTCAGTGGTTTGCAAGTTATCACTAATTGTCTACGAAAATGTAAAAAGATGAATATCACGTAGGGCATTGTCTTTTTTTCTGTTTTTTGGAAAAAAATACAGCTGAAGCTTCGGAAATGATTAAGCTGGCTATGAAACAGTTGGAAAGTGGTTTGCGAGATTACGTGCAAAAATTTTAGTCTTGAAAGCGATGAAATTCGCATGTGCCCGTTCGTCTCCAGCCAATACAACCCAGGAAGTGATCTTTATTTTGGCCGGGGAGAACTTCTCTCAACTGGGGACTATTCTCTGCAGCAATATCCTTTTGATTATCGCTTGACCAGATCAAAAGCGCAAGCGCGGTACAGTTTTGTGTTTTACGACTATAGTCTTAAAATTTATTTATCTGGCTACTATTTGTTGTGATAGTAATAATAATAACAATAATAATAACAATGAACATATTCAGAATTTACAATTTTTTTTTCATCATTACTTATTCCTTATTTTATCCCTTCTCTCAATTTTGAAAGAGCTTAAACACTATTTACGCATCGTCTTGATGTTAGTTTGTCATTGAGCGCCGTTGCCAAAATAAGTGTATCTTGTTGTGTTTCTTTATGTTTTGAAACGAAGGGCTGCTAGTTTCGACAAACAGGGAAATTGGGACATCTTATCGGCATTCTGTTTCGCCATCTATTAAAACAGCTTAAAAACTCACTCGTCTAACAGTTTTCCTTATGTTTTCAAAATGTATTCACGTAGCGAGCCTTCTCTAAGGAAGCATGATTTTTTAAACTTTTTTTATATTGCGCCCGGGCCTTTTCATCATCTTCAAACTCGAACCAGCTTTCATACGACCCCTTTCCCACTATTGCCGGTCGAAGGCCTTTGTTTAATATTCTCAAAATCCGTGATCGCAATCGATTGTGCTTTTAATATAAGAGAAAATTGAAAAGGGAAACGCGTAACAAAATCATCTTCGACTTTTATCCTAGAAGAACGATAAAATCAAATATAAAAATCTTAATTTTAATAGCTTATGATATTGAGTTGGCCGCATCGATTTTTTTCATTTTCGTGATATAGAGATACGTGGAAATTTCCATCGGGTGCCTAATGTAGCTTATGAGTAGTGAAAAATAAACCTAACAAAAAATATGTTCTCAGTATATGGTAGGTAAGTGCGTCCTTCGACATTTTTCGATTTGTTTTCAATATCAATCTGTGTGCGAAAACCTCCAATGTTTTTGCCATATGTGAAGCCGTTAATTTCAAAATTGCGGCCAGGAAAATGTTTATCAAGGACGGAGGGACGGACCGAAATACTTAAATTGATCCAGAGTCTGATGCTAATAAAGAGTGTATATACTTTACGGTTTCTCTGGCGGTGCTGCAAACGTTTTGATAAAATCCACCCATCCGTCACCCTTCGGAGATGCACGAGAAAGCACGAATCGCATTGGTCAAGTGATAGAAGACAATTCCGAATCCGAAAAGACATATTGAATATAAACAACATTTAACTTTTAACTTCATTATTTTAATTTTTTTCCAGTAAATTCATACATAGGTCAGTAAGTTCGAGCGGTAGGTAAGAAAATGTCTTTTTCTCTTTGCAAAATTCGACTTTGTTATAACGATACTTTTTTTATGGAAACATTTTTAAAAACTCTGAAAGTTTCATATTCCGCAATGAATTCATCATTTGATCCATCTTTTTCTCGTAAGCGTGTTTTTCAGCTTCGTAAATATATAATAGCTCGTGCGGGACAGACCTGAAGAACACGATGGATGACAGCAATTCGGAATTCAATTTATCGATTTGTGATTTTGCCTTATTGTTTCCCGAGATCACATTTTCATGCAAAATAATAAATACACTTCACTGTCTCTTTATATTCTCACTACAATTTCACTTTTCGATTTTCGAAAATAATTTTCGCAATTTTTTTGATATTTTCTAAATGTAATCATGTTTTGTGGGCTTCCAAGACTTTCGACATCATTGGCGTCCCCACGATTCTGATTTCGAGTCAATTAACATCGAAAAATTGTAGTTTCCGACGCGGAAGAGTTGCCGTATATCAAATAATCGAAGAGATCTAAAATCTTGAGAACCTTCGAGAGTTTTGGGTTTTTTAACCTTTTTTATTTATTTTTTTTCATTTGCATAAATTTTTTATTAGAGACGACATCAATGTGTCAGTTGGGAGACTCAATGACCGATGTATGATATCACGATTTACACCTTAATGTATGAAATATGTACGAAAATGAAAAAAAAAAAAAAAATATTAGCAAAGTCTGAAGTCAAACTGAATATCTCGACCGAAATTCGAGTATGGATTCAATATTTCGCCATTAATGCCTTCTAGAAAGGTGTATAGCAGATATTAAAATAAGTTGAAGTGCTCCCAAGTGATAGTTCAACAGGAATGTCCACCACAATTTTCATATGTTTATCAAAAAGCTAAGAAGGAAATCCGAGACATAATTTTGATTTTCTTATCAAGTGCATTCACTTGGCTGGCACTTTTTATTTAATTGATTCCTATTACGTAACCACTTTTAGTATTTAAGTGAGGATTCAGCGCATGTGCTATATTTGAATGAATCAAACGTTGAACAAGCAATTTGAATAAGTTGACCACGTAATGTAAAAGTGGAAACACTTACTGTGAAATTGTGCTATCTCACCTTTTTCGTATGGTATCGCTATGCTCGTAGTATAAATTCGGGCTACTGCCATGTTGCCTGTAACGCTTATAAGATGCCAATGTTAGTTGTGAGGCCAATTTAGAAGCAGTTACCAAATCTTCGCGGCTTTTACTAAGGCTTTCACTGTATGGATGCATATTGTTCTGAAACCTTTCAAGTTTCTTGTTTCGTCTTTCTCATCATTTAGAGATCGTTTTAAACAATTTTCTCAAATCTAAAAGAAAAAAGCAAAACAAAAGATTTAGAAATAAGAATAATAAACGCTTCTTACGCTGTAAGAGATATTATTTACTTGCTTATAAAAAGCAATTAATATAACACATTATAAATTGTATATATATGCCTTGACTTTTTATTCAAAAAGAAACATTAAAAATCCAAGTAAAATTTTTATAATTTCCGAAAGTGTAAAAAACGGGCGCAATTATTTTAAAAGATTGACTTAAAGTGGCCTAACGGAAAATGGGGTAAGTAATTACATTTGCGTTGGCAGTGGAAACAGGAGATGATTGCATAGTTGATTGGCTTTAGGGATGCATCTATAATCGATCCTAAGGAGGACGAACACCCGAAACCAGGATTTTTATGTAAACAATTTTGGCGAAATCATTGGCAAGGTGTAATGTCTATTGTAATACCGATCGCTTGCTTACCGATTATGCTGCTGATAGAAGGAGCCGTACGTAATTACGTCTTCAGTCCTTTACCGTATATTTCAAATGCACATAAATACTTTTTATTGTTCGTCTTTTTCGAAACAAAAAAAAGGAGTTTCGTTGCTTGTATCTAATTGCGACTTGTTGCTTCCTTTGGATTACTGAATGTATTCCATTATATGTGACATCTTTAATGCCGATTTTCGCTTTACCCATTCTTGGCGTTATGGTAAGTAGAGATTTCATTTCATATTATAATTTGAATGAAATATACAAAGCATTTCTAGAAGAGAGCAATTTCTTCCTATGCATTCTCTTTTTTGGTAGGACTCGGAGAAAACTTGCATGCAGTACTTTAAAGACACCTTAGTTATGTTCGTGGGTGGACTTATTATTGCCCTGTCCGTTGAGTATTGCAATCTGCATAAACGCTTAGCTCTAAGGACTATTCTAATTGTCGGCTGTAGTCCACGTCGGTATGTGATAAAATTTGCTTTCCGTTCCCTGAATCAATCTGAAATTCTTCCATTTCATTTCTTCATTTTCGCATTCCATGTCGGTCTATTGTTGCGTATAGTTTGTATTTAGGTGTCGTTATGATAACAACATTCATATCAATGTGGATTTCGAATTCAGCTACCACTGCCATGATGTGCCCTATTATAAAAGCTATCTTGGAAGAACTGCAAGCGGTAATTTAATATGATTTGTTTATTGTGTGTGCACCCTCAACCACCATCACTCAAAAACCAATCATCAGCACTTTTCTCACGTCTTTCCGTTCACATATATCTCATTATCGAGGAGAGAAATTGGTTTGATAATCACACAAAAGGTCTGCTCGCAAACAATATTTGCTAATAATTGACATACATTTATAAATAACTTGACGTAAAACACACGAAACAAAACAAAACATTAGAACGTGAAGTTTTTGCCATAATTATTATAAATTTTAATAGCAAATAGTTACGATAAATTTTCTCAGACGCACCCAAAAAATATTTAAAATATCTTTAGTAAAAATAACACAAAAAAAAAAAAAATAAAATAAAATAAATAAACATCGAATACTGAACACTGTGATGGGGGTAAATGGAAGCAGAGTCTTGAAAGGCAAAAAAGAAAAAAAAAAAAAAAACAGTTATCTCTAATTTCATTAGAACAATGTGATTGATATCTATATGGATGAATCTAAGGAACCGGCTATAGATGGGTAATACTTTTTAAATAGCTTGTTGTTCGGACTGCGTCTTTAACTTTACGAATTTTGTGTTAAAATGCAGGAAAAAGAGCCCCTCAAGGGCTGCTATGGCCTTTTACATAGGAGCTGCATATTCTGCGACTATTGGTGGTTGTGGCACTCTAATCGGCACTGGTACCAATATGGTGTTTAAAGGCATATATGAGGGTCGTTTCCCAACTGCCGAAGAAAAAATCGATTTCCCTCGATTTATGATATGGTCGATACCTATGGTCATTGTTCAAGCCGCACTATTGTTCTTTTGCTTTAACGTAACACATTTGGGTTTGTTTCGCCCGAAAAGTGCTATAGGACAGCAAGTTAACGCTGGAGCTGGAGTTGCACCTGCGGTTAAAGCAATTGTCTCCGCCAAGTATGCCGAGCTTGGTCCGATGTCGCCACATGAATGGCAAGTGGCTTTCTGGTTTGCAGTAATGATTGCACTGCTGTTTTGCCGTTCGCCTGGAATATTTACCGGTTGGGGTGATTTACTTAATCGCGTGTAAGTGTGTAAATGATTCTGAATATAATAAATCGGCCGAAATTTGAACAGAATACACATATGCAATCAATTCTATATGTGCGAATACTTCACACACTTATAAGATTACCGGTCAAATGTGAACTTGACTTGAGAGAATTAATTACTTAAATTATATTTTCACGACTTCTTAAATAGTAATGACTTTCACCGATAGCTTAAGTCGAATCTTTGTCTCATGTACCATTTATTTTATTATATGAGGATTTTTATATTCATCCTCCAACGACGAGGATATACGGCGCATAGGCATTCGAATTCTCATCGTGTTTATATATATTGTCTAATCAGTTTAAGATCCTCAATCAATTTCGTTACGTTTATCGATGCCTATTGATATCTGTCTGGGCACGATCATCGCACGGACTAAAAATTTCTCGTAAAAATCTTCTTAATTGTTACAAATAATTTTTCATTTTTGTGTATTGTCTTAGAGTGGGGCGAGGGGCGAGGGGCGAGGTGTGTCTAGCTTACATCAAAAATTGATCATAAAGGGTTTTTGTTTTTTTTATATTTATTTTTCATTTATCGCCTGCATGTGTATGGTTTCTGGGCACAAATAATTTGTGCAACGTGACGATTGTAGAAGTATTAAGACTTCGCCTTGCGTCATGCTTCCCGTATTGGCTTTATTTACTATTCCGGCTTTCTGGACCTGCTTTAAGCATTTTAAAAAGAAAGGTAATACAACTAATGACTTTCACTTAAAAGAAAATCGATAACTTTAATAAATCTTATCTTATAGGTCCTTATCCGTCGGAATCTATAAAATCCTTATTAAGTTGGGATTTTGCACATAAGACTGTCCCCTGGGGACTAGTCTTTCTATTGGGTATTGAGCGCATATTATGACAATTCTCTTCTAAAATGTGATTTCTTTTTTTGTTTTGTTTTGTTTTGTTTTTCCTTCTTTCCACAATACATCAAGGTGGCGGTTTTGCTTTATCAACGGCGGCTCAAGAAAGTGGCATGTCCAAAATGATGGGACAAGCTTTAAACTTCTTAGTGACATGGCCCCGTGTTGGCATACAATTCGGTGCTTGTGTTCTTGCTGTATTTATGACTAATTTCAGCGCTAATGTACCAATTTGTAATATTCTTATACCGGTGTTGAATGAAGTGGTAATTTTGATTTAAATGCAAAAAAAAAAAAATGATAAAAGAAAGAAGATGACACTAAGAAACAATGCGAATAATTTAACATTTCAGGCCTTAGTCGTTAAGGTGCATCCGATATTTCTTGTATTTCCCGCTGGCATAGCTTGTAGTTATGCTTTTCATTTACCTGTCGGCACACCGCCTAATGCTATAGTTAGTGGTTATGCCAACATACGCATTAAATATATGGTTTGTCGCTATTATTTTTAAATGTTTTTTTTTTTTTTTTTTTTTTTTACCTCGATATAAACATAATTTCTCTCTTCAAGGCGGAAGCTGGTATATTGCCTACCATATTTTGCATTGTAACGGTGGTGCTTAACAGCAATACTATGCACCGGCTTGTTTATCCAGCAGTAGACCTTCCAGAGGATATGATCTAATTGGCACATGCGATAATCAAAAAATCTTCGCTAGGGTGGGTTTCTCCTTTTTTTGTTTTTTTTGTTCTAATCATTGCCTTTGCAATGAGAAATGTTGCGATCGATGTAAGTGATGACTTATTTTTAGTTCGTGACATTTTCAAATTTAAATATGTGAAATGCATTTTTCACCTAATAAACTATTTATATTTATTCGAAATATTGTATTAATTTTAAGAAAGTTTAAACCGACTATTTCGTTACTTAAAATTCATTTGAATTACATATTGGCAGTCGCTTCACACAGAATACGGACGATTCGGTACTTTGACGTTTTGTCTCATTCACTTTCATATTGCATTTATTCTGCTTATACTCACACGGCCCAAGAGCAGATTGGGTCTCTGCATTCGTTGGACTTTGCATTTATTTTATGAATACGATATATGACAAACTCGAGCCAATCGGATGGAAATATTCTTAACTGTAGAGTGTCTAGCAACCATGCGCTGGATTACAAGAAACCCTGCACACTGATGGACTTGCTCTCTCAATTGAAATGGGTCCGTATGTTGTACGATGTTGATCACGCTTCCAACCTATGCACCAAGCTTAGTTGATCTTCGATTTCGTTTTCTAATAGCCATCTTATATAATTGATTTACTAATAATTTTCATGATAAAGTAAAAATATACTATTCTTCCCGTTTCCCCACCCGTAATATATATATATATATATATATATATATATATAGATATATATATACCAATTGCAACCTTTGAATCGACTTAGCTAATTTTTCTACTCAACATGAGATTATTTAACGTTAGGACACATTCATGACCAAATGAAATGCTACTTTATGTGCAACGATTGCTTTCAAAATAAAACTTTAATCGATTGTTATGCGATGCGATCTACGAATTGGCGACATTTACGATAACGTTTTTACATAGACTGCCATCACCTTAGGGCAAACGTACAAACTTAAATCTCCAGTTATCATATTTGTCTCAGAAATCTTTTTATGAGTTACACCAAATCGTTAGATTGATTACGTTAGTCTCTGAACTTGAGATGCCGTTTTTAATAGGAACACAATTAGAGCATAAATCCAATGATCAGTTTTTTTTTTTTTTTCATTGTCAACTCAAATTTTTCGCATGCCATCGTAGAAAATAAAGAAAATATCATCGGCTTTCTTTTTTAAGAGAACTCATAACTTTAGTAGGGACAGACAGACAAATATCGCTAAATAAAGTTGCCTTGCTTAATGGTCATCGTACAAATCGAATAAAATATCATCGCCTTTTTCACCAATTGTTGCAGGTTTTCGTTTTTTGGGAGAACTCATGATTTTAATAGAGACGGACAAACAAAAATGGCTAAATTAAGTTGCCTTGTTTATGCTGATATTAAGTTATCTTTGTTGTCCAATGTTGGTGCACTGCGTACATTCGGCTCATTCAGATAATAATAATATCCCTTGTACGTGGGCGCAATAAAAATCAGATTACTATTATTACTACTCCAAAATTTGTTTTTACTAAATTTTTTTTCCAAAATTCGACAAATATTTTCGCCCATTCAGCCTATAAACGTAATCTCGATGCACTTCGTACGCAATTTAAACACTGTTTAAATACATTGCGAAAAAAATTGATACCTTAATATTTGAATTAAAGACATGACGTAAATCAATTTAAAATACGACGTGATCGACTTTAATATAAAAAAGTAGTTAATCGAACAAAGCGAAAGCATTTTCAAGATATACAGCATGCTCACAGTTTTTTTTTTTTTTTTTAGTAAAAATAGTGTCACTAACACAAACGAAGCTAGATTATGTTAATGGATGAAGGAAACTCCGTACGTTGCAATTAAATGAATGTAATCGATAGTATGGCTAGTACTCTTCTAAAAATTGACTTCCTTTTTTTTTCCTACTGAAGCTGAAATCATTTACGAGTATATTCGGCCCGTAAATGCTCGCTTTGATAAATGCATATAAGCTTTAGTTACGGTTATGTACTACGCGGAGACTCGATAATTTTGTTCTAGCAAAGGTTGCTTAAGTGACGGCAAATGTTATTTAACCTAAACAGGTAGTACTTGAAGAGGTCAATCTATCCAATTCGTTATTTTATCTTCAAATTGTTTGACTTCACTTTATTGAAATGGATATTGTTCTTGAACATACATATAACATAAGATGTATGTGTCGCTTACGAAAAGTTTATTCGATTTCTTATTGCTTGAAAATGGGCGAACGTATCTTTACCCAAAAAATCTTTAAATACTGCAGAACATCTTCGGCTTACGTATATAATTACAGTAAAGAGTATTATCAGTAAAAAGCCAACACAAACTGTATAGCGTTTCGGAAGTGTTCGAATTGATTTTCTGTTTGTTTTTGAATATAAAAATATACCTTCCGCTTGCGGGGGGGGGGGGGGGGGGGGGGGGGGGGGGGGGGGGGGGGGGGGG